GACACCCCGAGTGTAAACATGGTCGGGAGAAGCATCTCTGTGGCGGCGGCACGGGGTCCACCATCAACATAGAGTTGTGAATATGGCTGTCTTTGTGTCTCAGGCCAACAGACAACTGTATATGGAACTGAAAAATATAAAACCGGATTGACGGGCTAAAGATGTTGACGGCTGTCTTTAAAGAGGGACTTTACGGGATTGGTACCTAATATACGATATCCATATGGCACATGAATACCTTTTATAAAGTCAGTAAACCTTAGGTGTATGTGAAACAGACGACACGGTATGGTAAAGCCAGATATTTTATCCCAGTTGATGAAAACTCAGGAAACGGATAGATTCAGAAGACTCATAACTATCTTTTGCGAAAAGTTCCGTAACATACTTAATTCAAAGACTAGTTACACGCATTGTGTTGCTGGACTGAAACGTCCCACTGACTGATTCATTCACCACTCGCTCTCACTTGTAACTAGCTGCACCGTGACACTCATTGTCCTGTTGGTTTATAGCCGTGGAAACTGACATTTCAAATTATATATATAGAAATATAAGTGGAGGCTTTACCGGCCCATGGTTTTGGTTCCAGTGGATTTGGGGACCGCTTCCCGGTGGTGTAAGTAGGTTAGAGAGCGTCCGCCCGAGAGCCGGAAGATCGCCAGGTCTCGATCCCCCGACCACTTGTCATACCAAAAGACGTTAAAATATGGTACTTGTTGGTCCCCGCCTGGCGCTCGGCACTAATGGGTACAACAAGGACTGGTCGGCTTGGAGTCAGTGAAGTAATGTGTCTGAGTGGGTATATTCATGCTTCACTGTGGCATGGTATCTCAGTGGGCTAGCACTATAAAACCAGTTTCAGTCTGGGCTAGTACAAGCAGTCGCACATACGTATACAATACTTGGCTGAAATATTGAGTTGACATAGGTCCTGCACGACGTTAAACCCAATTTCACCTCACCTCACCTCACAGTGGTTTTGGGACTTTCCTGCACTGAGTAAGAACATCAGAGACAAAGACGATTTGAATGATTCAGAGTTTCATTGAACCGGATCGTAGTTAAATATAAAATGCCGTGGAGTAAAACCATTTCAATAAGTTTCTGTAAAACTTCATATATTCTAAACGACATATTTGTTTCAAATATATGTCCAAAGTACACCTCGTGTACCCTATCCCCTTTGTCTATTAACGTATTCAGCAATCATTCGGTGTATCCCTCTTATCATAAACCCCTCCGTGCAGGACCCTTAATTATTAATGATATTAGAAAATGTCACACTTCCCTACGTCGGCGGATCCTACGTATGTACATAGGTCAGCGACCCTGCACAACGTGGAGTAATGTCCCTATGCATAAAAATCGGACTGGATATGGTCAGTCAGGAGGCCAGTCAATTCAATTCAATTCCTTTATTCTCATTCAACCACCAACGGTTGTACAAGAGAAGACAGTACATACAAATTATGTGTACAAAAAGAAGGTGAAGGTTAATTTTGGTTATATTCAGTGAAGTTTCTTTTTAGTGTTGGAGAGTCTATGATAGATATAAATCTGGAAAGCTTTTTCAAGATTGACAATTTTGTGTGACGTAAATAATGATTGAAAAAGTACACAAATTTGGAAACGTATATAATATATGTGGAATATAAAGGTCTCGGAGGCGAGGAGACGGCCCAGATCATCGACAGAAGCGGAGGGATTGTGCGGATTGTGGGGGCGTCGGGCCAAGGCCGTCGCCTCACCAACGACTACGTCGACGATGAAGAATCTCCGTCCTACTACTGACTGTGCAGAGCGGGTCTCAACATGGGGAACATTGGCCATTCGGGCCCGGTGTGCGTTCTGTCACGTGATTTCCACTTTATGTACCATTTCTACCATTATTCCCCAACTGTAATAAACATGGCTTGTTGCTGTCTTCAACTCTACCGCTGACTTTTGTCTTCCGTCTATTATCCACCATCCTGAACTACCATCCGAGAGTATCCCCATCAAACGCTCTTGGACAGAAAAACATAAATACAACATATTTTTGAACTGATATATTTCACTGCAAATCATGTTCATTGTCACTGTAAGTGCAGTAGATCTGCCACATTGTCACTGTAGATCGGCCAAGTGCTGTAAGTGCAGTAGATCTGCCACATTGTCACTGTAAGTGCAGTAGATCTGCCACATTGTCACTGTAAGTGCAGTAGATCTGCCACATTGTCACTGTAAGTGCAGTAGATCTGCCACATTGTCACTGTAAGTGCAGTAGATCTGCCACATTGTCACTGTAAGTGCAGTAGATCTGCCACATTGTCACTGTAAGTGCAGTAGATCTGCCACATTGTCACTGTAAGTGCAGTAGATCTGCCACATTGTCACTGTAAGTGCAGTAGATCTGCCACATTGTCACTGTAAGTGCAGTAGATCTGCCACATTGTCAGCGTAATCAACCTCGCCAATCTGGTGGCTGATGAGTAATCTGGAACTACGTTGTGGTGACGTCACAGTCGGTCTTTGCCCGGTGAATCAGTTTGGACTTGAGCACTTCACCCTCCATCTCAAAGGGTACAGGAGGGTGGGCGTGGTTCACCTGCAGAACTGCATGCAACACCTGGTTTTGTGTTGTCACAGATGAGAGGACTTAAAGGCGTGCATACTTCTTACACGAAGGTACGTGTACATGTATTCATTTTGAATAGGTATTGAAATGAATATCCATTGCTCAGATGACTTTAATATATGTTAAAGATTAAAATATTATAAAGATTGCATAATCTTCTCAAGAGATGTAATAGATTGAATAATTCTGCTTTTCCCTTGCGTGTGTGGGTGAGTGAGCGAGTTTACTGCCGCTTTGAACGGTATTTCATTAGATCAGGAACAATCGTAACTACTCGTGTCATTCCGGCAAGCCGGATGGCGTCTCGTACCCTTTCGTGGCCATGTTTACGACTGAGCTCTGTCTAAGCGCAAACGGGCATGGAGATAAAAATAGTATAATACTATTACCAAGGAAAGATAACTCTGAATTTCCAAACATAACTCCTAGAATAAGTATCTCTTTCCCGTGGGCAAAACAGCAATACAGTCATTCCCTTTGTAAATATGTTTCAGTGTTTAAAGTTTCTGATACTTTAGCTAAATGTTTATATGTTTAAATTGTGCTTTGCATGGTTTAGCGAAGTTTCAAAGTTCAAAGGTGCCGCCATTTTCATGGTTCGAAATGCGTTTTACTACGCGCGATTTGATTGGTTTGCCACGATTCTTGGCAATAATGGCGTACGGTAGGGGCACGAGTCTTCTTGTAGGTCACGGAAACAGGCGAGTGGTTAAGAATGGATCAGGAAATGTTGCAGAAAGAAGACATTAACTGCTAAAACACCCTACTTATGGTACGGTAATGACTCATAATTTATCGGGACAATCTGGGATCTCTACCCACGACCCTGTTAGGATTCTGACATGTCTGTTTGATGCAACTCTGCACAGTGCAATACGGCGCCTTAAACGGCTGGACCATAGCTTACCGAAAGACAAGGTGCAGGTGACTGACTTTTACCACTTAAGGGAACACCTTAAGCACGGCATATGCATATCCGTAGGCGTGAAATGGATCTGCCAAAGACTTGAAGTACTTATTAGTGCATTTTGATATATACTTTCGGCAGTGACATAGTTGCATGCACTTCACTGTTACCCTCTATGTCGCATATATAAAGTAAGTGAGTGTGGCCTGACGCCTGACGCTGTAACCAATAGCCCACCCCACTGCCCGATGTATTGAAACTCTGTGTACCAGTCATGCCTTGAATGCAATCTGACGTCGTACTATAATACTGTAATTATGTAAGTTACTGTTAATCGCGTGTACATATGTGTGAATGTGTGAATATGTGTGTACATCAAACTACGCTTATAACGAACTGACGGATATAACGAACTGTTTTAGTCCTGGTCAGTTGCTATATATTTTAGCCGAAATGGGTATACGGGCTCCCGTTATGGCGAAAGTTTAGTTTGTGTTAACCGAAGTTTACTGTACATATAGTCATTTAATGACATTGTTCCTGTTGAGATTCAATAGAGGGAAGTAGTGTGCTGTAGCTTTATTTAATCCTAGAGTCAAATCTAGCCTGCATGGGAGCTTCCAGGAAAAAAATAGTAGACCTATCCATCATGCTGTGGAATATTCTTTTCAATACTATATAAAGGGGACACGCGTGCCTCTGTCACCTGTCATTACATCACTAACAGCAGTCTGTGGCGATTGATATTCTCACCCAGGATATCCGACATGGACCTGTTATGTAAGCTTCGCCAGTGTTGCTGATGGTGAATATTATAGTCCGTTTGGCTAAAATTCGGACCGATGAATTGTAATCTAACTCGAAAACTACTAAACATATAATACTCAATGAAACACTGATCATGATCAAAACATCAGACCAACTCTGTGATTTTTTTTCAGAATTTATGTCCTAAAAATTAAAAAGTTGTTTAACAAACTATCATTAAAATTTTGACACTGTTCACTATTTGTTAGGACGGAGGAGGAGTGCAAAGAGAGGAACAGCCAGGTGTGCGAGAAAGGATGGAGACAGCACAGCACAGGTAAATGATTCAATAACTTTGTCGGCACTTGTGCACGTGCTTCGCGTACACCTGGCTGTTCCTCCCTTTGCAGTCCTCCCTCGTAATGATCAGTGTTTCATTGAGTGTTCTATGTTTAGTTGTTTTCGAGTTAGATTGCAATTCATCGGTCCGATTTTGAGCCAAACGGACTATACTGTCTCTGACTTTATTGCTAATACCACTGCTATTTCATTATATACTGCCATTGAAATTCTAATGCCACTGAGATTGTACAGACACGCTGTGTTTGTACTAGCATTGTAATATGTTTGCAGTAGTTTATTTTATAAGAAAACTGTTACTTGTACATCATTTCTTTGATATTTGATGGTTTTTCACAGTGTGTGTTTGTGTGTGTAGCTGCAACATAAAATTACAAGAGACACTACTCACTGTGTACACAGTGGAAGGTGAACGTCACGTAGTCTTCACCATCAGTATGTTGAACCTACCACCAGGTGAAGACAGCTGACATCTTGTAGAGGCCGTGCAGATGTCCACAAAGTCCAGGTAGTAGTGATCTCTCAGTTGGTTCTTCATGGCAGGAAGGCAGTACTCAGTCACGGTATCATTCTCACGCTGTTGACAACAACGTCTGATTTCGTCTACTCCCTTCCCTCTTAAACTAATTCCAGTTATTTCCCTGTGACATGTGACGTCAGAGGACACCCCGAGTGTAAACATGGTGGGGAGAAGCATCTCTGTGGCGGCACACGGGGGGTCGACCATCAACGGGAAGTTGTAACAGGCAGTCTTGTGTCTCAGGCCATAGACTACTGTATATGGAACTGAAAATACAAAACCGATTGACACTAAAGATTTTGGACGGTTGTCTTAAAGAGGGACTTTACGGGGATTGTTACCTAATATGATATATCCATATGGCACATAAATACCTTACAAGTCAGTAACCCAAGGTGTATGTGAAACAGACGACACGGTATATAAAGCCAGATATATTTATCCCAGTTGATGAAAACTCAAAAACGATAGATTCAGAAGACCATAACTATCTTCTTTGCAGTTCCGTAACATACTTCATTCAAAGAATAGTTACACGCATTGTGTTGCTGACTGAAATGTCCACTGACTGATTCACTCACTCACTCACTTGTAACTAGCTGCACCGTGACACTCATTGTCCTGTTGGTCTATAGCCGGGAAAGCGACATTTCAAATGATATATGTAGAATATAGTGGGGCTTTACCGGCCATAGTTTTGGTTCAGTGATTTGGGACCGCCTCCGTGGTGTAGTGGTTAGAGCGTCCGCCCGGAGAGCGGAAGGTCGCGGGTTCGATCCCCGACCGCGTCATACCAATAGACGTTAAAATATGGTACTTGTTGGTCCCTGCCTGGCGCTCGGCATTAATGGGTACAACAAGGACTGGTCGGCTCGGAGTCAGTATAATGTGTCTGAGTGGGGTATTCATGCTTCACTGTGGCATGGTATCTCAGTGGGCTAGCACTATAAAACCAGTTTCAGTCTGGGCTAGTACAAGCAGCCGCACATACACATATGAGCGAAATATTCATAGGTACGACGTTAAACGCAATTTCACCTCACCTCACCTCAGTGATTTGGGACTTTCCCTGCACTGAGTAAGAACTTCAGAGACAAAACGATTTGAATGATTCAGAGTTTCATTGAACCGGAGCGTAGTTAATATATATGTCATAGAGTAAACCATTTCAATAAGTTTCTGTAAAATTTCATATATTCAAACGACATATTTGTTTCAATATATGTCCAAAGTATACCGAAATTCTATCCCCTTTGTCTATTAATGTATTCAGCAATCATTCGGTGTATCCCCTCTTATCATAACCCCCTTCCGGGCAGGACCCTTAATTATTAATGATATTAGTAAATGTCACACTTCCCTACGTCGGCGGATCCTACGTATGTACATAGGTCAGTGACCTTGCACAACGTGGCGTAATGTCCCTATGCATAAAACCGGACTGACATGGTCAGTCAGGGAGGCCAGTCAATTCAATTCAATTCCTTTATTCTCATTCAACCACCATCGGTGGTACAAGAGAAGACAGTACATACAAATTATGCGTACAAAAAGAAGGTGAAGGTTAATTTTGGTTATATTCAGTGAAGTTTCTTTAGTGTTGAGTTGATGATAGATATAAATCTGGAAAGCTTTTTAAGATTGACAATTTTTTAGACGTAAATAATGATTGAAAAGTACACAAATTTGGAAACGTATTGAATTTATGTGGAATATAAAGGTCTCGAGGCGAGGAGACGGCCCAGATCATCGACAGAAGCGGAGGGATTGTGCGGCTTGTCGGGGCGTCGGCCAAGGCCGTCGCCTCACCAACGACTACGTCGACGATGAAGAATCTCCGTCCGACTACTGACTGTGCAGAGCGGGTCTCCACATCGGGAACATTGGCCACTCGGGCCCGGTGTGCGTTCTGTCACGTGATTTCCATTTTATGTACCATTTCTACCATTATTCCCCAACCATAATAAAACATGGCTGCTGCTGTCTTCAACTCTACCGCTGACTTTTGTCTTCCGTCTATTATCCACCATCCTGAACTACCATCCGAGAGTATCCCCAACAAACGCTCATGGACAGAAATAACATTAATACAACATATTTTTGAACTGATAATGTTCATTATCATTTCATTGTCACTGCAAATCATGTTCATTGTCACTGTAAGTGCAGTAGATCTGCCACATTGTCACTGTAAGTGCAGTAGATCTGCCACATTGTCACTGTAAGTGCAGTAGATCTGCCACATTGTCACTGTAAGTGCAGTAGATCTGCCACATTGTCACTGTAAGTGCAGTAGATCTGCCACATTGTCAGCGTAATCAACCTCGCCAATCTGGTGGCTGATGAGTAATCTGGAACTACGTTGTGGTGACGTCACAGTCGGTCTTTGCCCGGTGAATCAGTTTGGACTTGAGCACTTCACCCTCCATCTCAAAGGGTACAGGAGGGTGGGCGTGGTTCACCTGCAGAACAGCATGCAACACCTGGTTTTGTGTTGCCACAGATGCATTGCAACCAGCAACTATACAGTTCCAGTACTTCTTTTCTCCCCGACTCTTCTTACATCTGAACTTATACTGGTAAAAAAACAAGTTTACAGCCTCTGACCGTCTCGACGAATGTAAGTCGAACCTGAGCATTAGCCATTTTATTAACGATATTTCCTGCACTTCATATGATTAAGGGATGAAACTATAAGGATGAACACAGTCTCAATTTATAGTTTACACAACAAAGTAACAAAACTGTTTGATCTATTGTTATATCAAACTATCTTTCTTTACTTATAACATGGCTTGTCACAGGAATGCTCAAACAGGAGTAACGAAGACAATTTTGAATCATGGAGGCTCAACTCATTTACGATAATCCGATGTTTTCTTTGCAACTAGCATGTTGACTCTTTTCCGACAGAACGGGTATGAACAATCCCGACCCCGACAGAACCTGGTTTGACGCTTTACCGGGTATGCTAAAATTGACATGGCGCTTTCCCGGGCCGACACCGCACTGTTGCCTGCTTATTGGTGCCACAAGAAATTAACTAAAAGTACATAATCTTGGATTTCGAGTCTCCAACAAGGGTTCTTTTCAGAAACTCAAGGTCGAGATTTCGGTGAGAACACTTGGCAAAATGAATAGCATCCGTATACGTAGAGGAAGTAGACGATACAATGTACAAAAAAGTTATTGACCAGCCATTGTGGTCAACATTAAATTTTCCACTGGCAACTATGTCCTATAAGGGTTCATATACTTTAGTTGTATCTTAAGCTCTACATCTGTTCCCATTTATTTCAGTAATATTCACTTCTTACTGGAAACTAAACCCTCTTTCAGACATGGAAACATGAAAGAAAACCCTATTTTTTAAGAGTATATATACTCATCAAAAAGAAACGCATAGGTGATTTTGTGAATTTTGGACTGATGCAGCTGCGGCAAAAACAACACAAATATACTATTTCTTTCCACAACGTCATCTTTGTGTGATTGTAAACAGCTTCAGCGTCAAAACGCGGTAATTTTAACTTTTCCCTTATTTTAGAAGCGTTTGAAGAAATATTCGCCAAAACGTCACCAAGAAAACACGCCAAGCTAAATACACGGCAAGTAAGCGGAAAAGCTTGCAGTATCGATCACTATAGAAAGGCAAACGCTTTGTTTAATTTTGTCATTCGTTTTTGCCTGGAAAAGAGGAAATCGACATGCTTCGACTGAGGGCCGCCAATCGAAACATGGCAATAGGCCGCCTTGAAGCTGGGGAGTCGCAGTCTGCAGTTGCCCGACATTTCAGCGTTGACCAGAGCCCGGAGCACCATATCTCGCCTTTGGGACGGTGTTTACCGTCGGAGAAAATAACGTTTCGCCTCTAATTGCATTCGACAGGTTGACAGATTCGGTGGAGGAAGTGTCATGCTGTGGGGTGGATATCCAGCTCTCAAAGATCAGATTTAGTGGTGGTTTAGAGGAATCTGACAGAAAATCGGTACATCAACAAAGTCCTTGCACGTGACATGCTTCCGATTATGGACCGACAGAGGGAGTTGTTACAGCATGACAACGCTACTTCACATACAGTACGCGTTATGGTCCGCTACCTTGCCAATTCAAACGTCTATGTCTTGTCATAGCCTTCCTGATCACCAGATCTAAACCCGATAGAACACCTATGGGATGAACTCAATCGACGTGTACGTCAGCGTCAAAACACGCCTCAGACACTTCCACAACTGGCCATCGCATTGCAGGAAGAGTGGGGAAGAATTCCGCAAGAGTGACTTCGTCCAGTCTGTGCCGAGATGGTGCCGAGCAGTAATTGCTGCCAATGGTTGCCATACAAAGTACTGACTTTGACACGCCATCTTGATGGTCTCAAGTATGGTACTTTGTTGGTCCCTGCCAGTACAAACTGGTCGGCTTACTGATCTCAGTGGGCTAGCACTATAAAACCAGCTTCAGTCTGGGCTAGTACAAGCAGCCGCACATACACATACACAGTTGTGTTGGAAATATTCTCAAGGACGTAAAACCCAATTTCACCTCACCTCACCTCACCTCAAGTAATTACTGATGTTGTGTTGGCGGACTCTCTTGTCTATAGAAGTGTGAATGTTCACCTTTTATCATTGAAATTACATCAAATAATTGTTGTTAAACTAACGCAATAAATTCTTCTAAAATGGCTCATGCATTTTTTTTTTTTTATGGGAGGAGTGTATCACAATAGTACATATTGTCATGACACTAAATTCAGACACAAAATATACGAAGGTTCCATCATAAAAATAACCACAAGATACATACCTTGAAGTAAAATCCATGTCATCAGAAAGAGATATGTTGGCCACCTCGGCCACATTCTTGCCTAGGTTCAGGTGTTGAGACACACTTCTCCAGATTTTCGGTATCAGAGACTAGGATAGTCTGTCATGCAGACCCTGAAACAAACATACCAAATGTAACCCAGGCAAGTCTAGAATGTGTGGCAATTCTAAAAATGACGAAAGTCTCTTGGCTCCTTTTTATTGTATTTTATTTTAATTTAACACGTTTTTTCTTCAAAATATGTTCATTCAGAGACTAGCCGCTAGTGTAAAGTCTCTTTTACATGCACACATTTACTCCTGTAAGTATATTTACTTATAGAGTAAATTAACTTACAGGAGTAAAAGTATATTTACTTTCTGTTCACATGGATATTTAACCAATAGGAGTATATCTGATTTGCATCTGGTTTTGAAGAAGTTTGGTCATTTAATCTTAAGACACAAAATGAGTAGGCTGTTGATTTTAAAACGCACAGGAGATCTACAGTATTCGTTAACTACAGGACTTGTCCTAGGTCTAACAAAGGACAAGAATGATTGGGCAAACACCCGTTCAAGAACCAGTGGGTAGAGAATTTTCGAATGACTAAAGAAACATTTGCTGGCATTTTATGGCTATCATTATGACAGTAACATCTTCAACGCCATGGTGTTGTAGATAAGGAGTCTGTGAGCCATTCGCTTTCTAAGCACCTAACAGGCAGCGAGGCTGTATGATCCGGAGGGAGTTGAAAAGTTTCGGAAGGTACAATGGTGTCTAATGACAGGGATAATAATGTACGTAGCACCTTAAGCATGCATGAAGCGCGGTATGAGCGACATAAAAGCGACTGTTACTTACTGAGGTGCGATATTTTATACATGAAACGTGATAGCTTTGCATAACCTCTTATGGCACAGGTCGAATTATTTTCAAACAAGCAGATTGTACAATTCAGTGGGCTATTACAAACTGCATGTAGAAGAAATTAGTAATCGCTCAAGTTTACTTCAGAATAATGTGTATTGCATAATCATTGATACAGAAAAGGAAAAGACAATTTGAGCAATTGATATAAAATGTAAAACTTTAAATAAACTACTGAAACACGAGACTGCTGTCAAACTGACTTCAATGAAGCAACATCCATATCTTGTAACGTGGTCGTACAATAATAAATTTAATAAAGCATCAAAGAAGGATTATGAAACCATATCAATTCCAGTTATGTCTTTTGATGAAACATTGATAAAACATAATAATAATGAAATATTATCCATTTGAAGATATGATGCAATCAATTTACTTACAGTAGCAAATCAAATTTAGAGTCATTTGTGTCCAGGAGTAAATATACTTCTATTTCACCCCTGGAGCAAGTGTAAATTTACTTCAGGAGTATAAATACTTACGTGAGTAAATTCGTTTTGTGACGTTTCCATGGTTAATTTACTTATCATAAGTAAATTTACTTACGTAAGCAAATATCCTCCTGTAAGTAGATATGTGCTTGTAAAAGCAGCTTTATTAGCTCCAGGAAAAGTCGAATGGGTTTAATGAGTTATATTTGTCTAAAATACATTACAATATACAAATTCTATACCTTCTGTACGCCAGTGCCAAAGAATACCCAGTTTTGACAAGCCACAGAAGCAGATTCCATTTGGTGTAAAGGGCAAAATAAAAATATATTATTTGCGAATCGTGATAACACCATGGGCTTGCTAAAAGGATAAGCATGTCCTGCCCCGTGATTAAATAAAAGAAAAATGACACAAATATTCTGTGACGCGTATGTCCGATGTTCTGTGGATAAAGCCACCCTTTTGAAAACTGATAGGTACATTTAATACATGAACTACAGAAAAGGTGTATCTGGGTATCGAGCAGATGTCCACGTAACTCACTGCAGACAACTTGCATTACTGGTTAGTTCACATGACACGTTGTAATCATTCTACTCACTCACTCTGCAGTGACTTAATGTCACAACGTATCCTACCTCTGACTGTACACCCTGACGATCCAGCTACATCCAACTTCACGATGTTTGAACGACTAACAAACAACCCATGCAGTGAGCATCAGAACTTCCTGGTTACATATTTAGAAAACGCCGACGCTGTGTTATGCAGGTGCACTTTATCTTATCAGCAATTGTTATTTGTGTCATGTATGATAATCAGTCGGCAACTTTATCACGTTGTGGTCCGATTTGCCTGCCTTAAGCGTGTTTTGTAGGAACAGGTTTAATATTAATCGCTAGAAATTGAACATTCAAGACACTAAAATATACTCATGCCAATAATGGTTGTCACCCCCCTCCCTCCCCAAACCCACACACACCTCACACCCCACTACACACCCTCTCCAATTAAAAAAATTGAAGGGGGTGACAACCATTATTGGCATGAGTATATAATCAAAACTAAATATTACACTCGAGTCAATCTTCAACAGCGAATTTAAATGTGTTTTTGTATTCCTAATATTTAACACTGTGAAAGAACATTGGAGTATAATTGTTTTCAAACAGGCTTGTAGAAGTGCCTCTGTTTGCAGAAAGAGTCAGCTTAATGACACCACTTAAATGCATGTCATTCATTCTCCATTAGCTGAGGAGCGGTGGATTAGCCAAGAGGTTAAAGCGTCCCTTCGACTTCGACATCGACTTCGACACAACCGTGTTTGACGGTAGATGCAAAACAATCATGATACAAGTCAACAGTGATTAAAGATATGTTTTTGTATATGTGACCAAACAGATACATTTAGTGGAAGGGTATTTGAAAGTGTAGGACACTACGGCTATGAACCGATGTACACAGACTGAGTACATACTGACACAAGACAGTATTGGCCGCCTCTCTGGTTTTAAGCCATGTACAGGACGTGCAAAACGGGTTTGTTCGTGCACAAGTTACACTGTGTACTGACACCAGCATATTATATACACATAATGATGCATGTTTTAAACTGATGTTCATCTGGAGTCTTTGAGGGGCATTTAGAAGTGATACACATTAAGGCAAGAATTTATGTCAACTTCTTTATTGTGAATGGTCACGACGTTTCGAAGTATATTTTTACGCCTTCATCAGGTGAATGAAACAATTAGGAACAGACAGCTATATATGTACATGTTAAAACAACAACAGTTATGGGATAACAAGGGAAATCAGTAGTTAATTGATAGATGGAAAAGTGGGAGCCAGGGATTGTTAATTTAACAAGGGATAAGAAAAACAAATAGAAGCCAGGGGGTTATAATGAGCACTAACTTGGTGGATGGACAAGTGGAAGCCAGGGATTGTTAATCCAGGCGTAGTTGATGAGGTAACAATAGTGGTAAGAACACAAATGGAAGCCAGGCTTCATAGTAATAAGGACAATGAGGCCAGCAGTGATGATTGAATTAAATTTATAAGTCCCAAGCGCTAGGAAGATATGTTCCCTGGTCACGATTGATTGCTGGTTGGCTTCTTCTGATGTCTATGGCCAACCAGCAATTTAATTCAATCATCAACTATGCCTGGATTAACAATCCCTGGCTTCCACTTGTCCATCTACCAATTATCTACTGGTTTCCCTTGTTATCTCATAACTGTTGTTGTTTTAACATGTACATATATAGCTGTCTGTTCCTAATTGTTTCATTCACCTGATGAAGGAGTGATTCAGATTCACAGTGATTCACAATAAAGAAGTTGACATCCATAAAATTCTTGCCTTGATGTTCATCTGAATCACATTGAAAATGAAGTATCATTTTCTTATGCAAACGTGTTTAATAATCAAGTAATCAAGTTAGTTTGTTAAAAATGCCTCTGTCTACCCAGTAAATGGGTACCCGGTGGGATAAGTCGTATACCAGTAAACCTAGCGTCTCACAGGCAGCTTGGGTTAACCGGGATAAAAATGTGTCAGCGCTTTGAGCATGCACACGTACGTGGATACAGGCGCTTTATAAATAGCCATTTTATTATTATCATCTTGTGGAAAATATGTCCTTGATATGGTTATCAGTAATGTGATCACTCTGATTACGACATCTCTCCATATGTGTGGTTTACCTAAGTGCACATGATGAACTTTTGCCAACATTATTTCCTGCATTGATAAACCTTTGCCAGCGATGTTGAGATGATCGCAGCCCTTCTCTTGGTTGTCCAAATGGTTCTTCACAGCTGACAATGGTTCTTCACAGCTGACAATGGTTCTTCACAGCTGACAATGGTTCTTCACAGCTGACAATGGTTCTTCACAGCTGACAATGGTTCTTCACAGCTGACAATGGTTCTTCACAGCTGACAATGGTTCTTCACAGCTGACAATGGTTCTTCACTTCTGACATGGTTCTTCACAGCTGACAATGGTTCTTCACAGCTGACAATGGTTCTTCACAGCTGACAATGTTTCTTCACAGCTGACAATGGTTCTTCACAGCTGACAATGGTTCTTCACAGCTGACAATGGTTCTTCACAGCTGACAATGGTTCTTCACAGCTGACAATGGTTCTTCACAGTTGCTACATGATCATTGTTAAAGGCTAAATACAAATTTTGTTAGTGGCGTATATTACCGTTCGGGCAGGACATGTTTAGCCTTTAAGACCTGGTTTCAATAATTCATTCATATAATCGTGAGTCCTGTTTTTCCTTTCACGCCAATGAAATCTGTTTTGGTGGAATATAGAGACAGAGCATTCTCTGGCGATGACCTTTCACTGAATGTTTAGGAACAGGCGGAAGTCTTACGGAGACGTTCAAAACTACAGTCGAAGATTGTTACCATGGCAATAAGAGTTTTCTCTAAATGGAAGAGCACAGTTTTCCTCTAATGTCATCCCGTAATAACATTTAGCATAATATACATGTATATTGTCTGGCTTTAAAGAGATATACAACTATGATGACACCTTCGGTATCCCATAACCTTCTCAACAGATACGACACTATTTGTCTTCTTTGGTGATGCTGAAACTTTCACTGTTTTGATGGACATGATATTATGTGATGTAGGAAATGCCTACTGAACATGTACTCCGACGCTCAGTCGATAACCATCGCATGTTGATAGCTCCTTACAGCGTCACATGAATAATGCCTAGTGTTGTTCCCATATCTTCATGGATGCAAGCACTTGATCACTGGACGATACTCAGGTCTGTCCAATGTCCTGAGGTCACTGTGCCCTGATTACTGTAATGACTTGTCATAGCAATACAATTTGCTCAACTGAATCAAGTATATTTTAGACATGCCAATACATTATCTAATGTTCACAACCACAGACTGGCTGAATTTTTGCCATAATTGACAAATGTCTTAATGTCACAGCGTATCCTACCTTCGACTGAACATCCTGATGATTCAGCTAAATCCTACTTCACAGTAAATAACTGACATACAAGCAAACCAAGCAAACACTGTCATTACTTCCTGATAAAAGTCTTATGAGTGCAGCCGCAGTGTGTTACATTTGTTATCTCATCTCAACGGGCATTTGTTATCTCATCTTTAGCTATGTCATGTGTGATAACAGTAAACGAAAATGTTTCATATTCGAATTTGGGAAGAGTTGATGTGCTTAATGATAAACTAAATATATTATTAACTGAAAATATTGTATTCTACAGGCACTAACACTTATGCTTTAGCAATCATGAATATAAGCTTTCATGTTCGACAGAGGCGGTTGGGTAGTTTAGTGGTGAAAGTGGTCGCTCGTCATGCCGAAGACCCGGGTTTGATTCCACAGATGTGTACAATATGTCAAGCCCATTCCTGGTGTCCCCAGCCATGGTATTGCAGGGATAATTCTAAAAGCTGCGTGAAACCACACTCACTTCTCATCAACTTCAACGTCGTCAACATAATTGAATGGCATTTTGTTCAATAATCCAAGCGGTTGATGTTAAGAACGCTCCAGTAATCCTACGTTGTTATCAGTAGGCATGTATGTGTGTCTTTAATGAAAATATGTTCTGGAATTCCCGAAACGGCCTTTAATGAAATATTCGCACAAAACACTGTAAGTCACATAACATTTGGTATAGGTAAAAATAGGCTATTGTATCTGACATTATTTTGAATATTAATGATTATGACTACCATAAAACGTTCTGGAAGCTTGGCTACGGCCCCGAATGTTGTAGTTTAGTTTTACGTCACTTTTAGCAATATTCCAGCAATATCTTTGCGGGGGACACCGGGCGGTTTCATTTCCTTTTTTCTCCTGTGTATTTCTAGCTCAGGTGAGTTAATCAGTGTAAACACACTTGTCTACTTGACTGTCAGTCAACGATATCGGATAGACCTGAAGCTTAAATTACACACATCAACACTACCCCTGATTTATTATCATATGTCCTGTTTTATTTATCCATCATACAGTCACCAAGGTGTGAAAAGAAACATTGATGGGAATTATTACCAAATCGGAAACTGCGCTGACGAAAGATAAAGGATTGTTAAGTAAATCTGACCAATCATTGCCATAACTATAAGAGTAATGCTGTTTCTAATTCTAACTACTTCCGGTGCCGGAGGTCATGACACAAGTCACAGGTCCGATAGGGGGTCGACGGGAGGCTTCGGATCCGAGGTTATCAAGCGCTGATCAGGAAGTTCCCGAGAGATAGGGTGAAAGTCGAGCAGAAAATAGCGGCAAGGTTGCTTATCCCCTGCTGTGAATGTCATCAGCATGTTGGTTTTATTGGTCTGTCGTGCTGGTAATGTGGTTGTCACTTGTATCGACCTTATCGATCTCATCGATCTGAGACCTGCCTGTTGATGGTGTCTCTTTGTGATGTAACGCGTTCGTTTCTCCTCGAGTGGAGCGGTCGTGTTCGCTCGACACGCTGAAGACCCGGGTTCGATTCCCCACATGGATGCAATGTGTGAAGACCATTTCTGGTGTCCCCTGCCGTGATATTGTAAGAATATTACTAAAAGCGGCGTAAGACCATATTCACTCACTCCTCCTCCAGTGGTGGGCATCAGTCAAAGAATTACCTGTTAACTAACTACTTGTTAGACTGTTCGTGTATACGGATTATCTATCCCGTATGATTATAGAACCATGTTTAGGTCCCGGGGTTCCTGCAAGATTAAATATATATAATATAAACGGTAACGAAGAGATCCGGGGCATTTGTAAAGGTAAAAATGTGTTTTCTTTTCAAATAGAGTGAGTTGCTTTTATTCCGTTTTGGGGAACCTTCAGGCAGTATCACCTGCAATCACTTTAGAATTGGTCTTCACCAACCCATACTTGTCGTAAGAGGCTCGTAGACTGGTTGGTGCATGGTATCGCGTCAGGTTTAGAAAATTTAATGTCCTTCACACATCTAGTTCTTCAGAAATGTAAACACAAAACAAAAGAAACGGGAATATACATCTTTATTACTATACGCTATTTTGTTATTGATTATAATATTCATAAGAGGTGTTAGCATATGTCGCCGTGCTGGCAGGTTGTACTGTACTGTACGTGTGTTCTTCCTTCATTGTTGAGGTTGTGGTGTAAACATCTGCACCATTCTTCCTTGTCTTCCGTTGGTAGAAACATCTGATAATAGAGATTTGGACCATAGAAATTTAATACACAATGCGACATAGATTTGACTTAATCTAGTTTTGTTGGGCGGTGGGGTAACTTCGCTCGCTCTCCAGAAACCCATGTTCGATTCCCTACAGGTATGTTTCAACCTGTTTATCCTTCCTCCATGTTGGGTGGTGGGATAGCCCAGTGGTTACAGGGATCACTAGTCACTTTAAAGTCGATAGTTCAATTCCCCACACGGCATATTCTGTGGGGCCAATTTCTGGTGTCCCCGCCGTGGGATCGCTTGTCAAAAGCGGCGTGAAAGTAAACTCTTTCACTCTGTATTATTTAACGTAGATACATCAGACATCTCTAGCACCAGGCTTGTCAGGTGGAAATGACAAATTGATGGAAATAAGTTCAAAACGATTGAACGTTTTTCCTCACGCACGGGATATTTCGATACTTCTATTGATTTTGTGCTACATACATTTTTTAGAGATTCTGAATAGAAGCTTTACCTGGACATTATCCAACCCAAAACAAAGCCAACGAACAGAACAGCTGCGGATACGCCAAGTGTTACGGGTAAGGTGCTTGATGACTCACCTGTACAAGGAAATAGAAGTTGTTTTACCATATAAATACTTGGCAATTTGTCAGTGATATTAACCTGTCATAATAATGTTCCTTCATGGTGATGACCAGTTCACGCCAATACAGTACTCCATATTTGCTTGACGTCATATGACGTTAATTAAATGAAGACGACCCCCTGAGTTGTTCACGACACCACAATCAGTTTAAGAGGTTACGTGTTTGCATCATTACCACATGTTAAAGATGTTGGCTTGGGGAATCTATTTGGTTGCCCAGGAGGAGAGTTTGGATTGTCAAAATGCGAAGCCATTGTCTCTGCTGATGTCGTTTCAGAAGGCTGAAGGTTTTGAGGTGAACCAGCTGATGTTCCCGGGATCTTGTTGTTGGTAGAAATACTAGCAGACACGGTGTTTGTAGTAGTTGTAGAAGTTGAAGTAGAAGTAACAGTAATAGTAGTGGTAGTAGGAGCAGTAGTAGTAGTAGTAGTAGTAGTAGTAGTAGGGCAGTTCAGTGACACATCTGAAGGGATGTTGGCTCCACAGACGACGGTGACATTCTTACCTGTATCCGCTACAAATTAATTATCTTGTGTCAATTACAATCAGAGTATATCTGATACCATGTTTAATAGTAGGCACTCGTAAAAATGTACGTATATATGTGCTCAAGAAGTTATTGACAAGGATAAAGTAAACTAGGCACCACTAATTGTAAATAACCGTAGTTCGTCATTAGTACTTCGACAAATATATACATATTAGCCGGACCAACAAATAGTTCGTTATGTCCGTTACTTCGTTATAAGAGCGTTCGTTTTAAACGTACTTTGTTGTATTACTTATTGTAATGAACAAGTTCAGGGGGCTTTCGTTGATGAATTAGCATAGGAGTTGAATCATCTTTGTTAAATCATAAAGTCAAAAGTTCTGATGGATGCGACGTGATTGAAGTACGGAACAACCCCTGTTTGGGGCCATTTGAATTTAACACAACATTAATAGAATCTGAATTATCAGAGAAAAAATAACATACCTGGAAATTGACCCATATATCAACGTAATGGGATACTACATGCTGTACAGCGGAAACTCTTCTAATATATTCCTCGTTCATAGTGGCTAGAAACTATGTACGTGTATTTGCATATTTCACCAGCTGGAGATGTGATAATTACTCATGATGTATGAAGTGTTTGACAAATATATTTTGCATTATTTAAGAAAAATATGTAACACTTTGACATTTTTAGTGCAGTAGAAGTGTATGTCTTCATTTTATCGTTACCTTTCGCTCGGATCCACAGAAATTCCTTTTCTTGACGTCCAGGGTCGACTGTCATGAATATCGACATGTTAACATAGTTGGACTTGCTCTCAAACATTGTACTGGAACAGTTGCTGGATGCAGGTGGATTCTTACAGTCCACCTGGACAGACACGTCTCCATCAGTGAAGGTCACACGACAGACAGGGGACACAACTCGTGTTGCAGCAAGTTGTATAATGACATGAGAGTCACACTCATGAGAGTATGCTATACAGTTGGCTGTACCCATCCCGTCATGCTGGTCGTTGTACAGGTACACCTCCTGTCCTGTGTGTGTAGAGTCGTGCTGGATGTGCAGCACAGTGTCCTCTGAAAGGGAAGATCAAGGTCTGTTCATGTAATCACTATTGATAGGTATTAAAAACAAGGGAATGATTCAGTGTGTGGCATTATATGATATATAAAATAGTATTTTAGTAAATTCATGACGTATCAACGTAGTTCATGATAAAAGTAATTCATATCATAAATCCCTTCCACCTTTCTAAACCGAACGAGTGAGTGAGTGAGTTGAGTTTTACGCCGCTTTTAGAAATATTCCAGCAATATCACGGCGTGGGACATCAGAAAAGGGCTTCACACATTGTACCCATGTTGGAAATAGAACCCGGTCCTTCGGCGTGAAGATCGAACACCTTAACCACTAGGCTACCCCACAGCTCCCTAAAACGAACGACGCCCGGTATGAAGCTGACAAAAACTAAGAATAATTCATCTTGAAAAATCTCAATCAGTATGCCAACAAAGACGTCCAAAGACATGACACAAACATATTTTACTTTAGTGAAATTTCATGGACGTCAGACACGTTAACAAACCAGGGATTAGAACTACAAGCGTTTCAAAACAATACTTATTAGTTATACGTTTACTTATTGCAACATGGGTCCCAGCTAACACCCATAGGTTGGACAAAGTTGGAAATGTCGCTGTCGGATGTCCCATTTTGGGGCAATACTTCTGTCATAAGACGGACAAAACATTTCATAACGAATCTGGACCAAGCAATGAAGTGACAAGCACGTTTTACTGAATTTGCTGAACTTAAAAAGGGTATGTAGACTTCCCTGCTTCCCTACCACTGTTGCGTACAAGTACAGATTCTGTAGGTGTTGGGTGCAGAATCCTAGGTCAACCCCACCTTGGAGAAAGACAACAAACATCACAGTTTAACCGTATCTATTGTTCCTAGATTTGATGAGTTGTTTGCTCTCATTTACCTATACTTGTGTAATTACTAAATCGGTTGCCTCAGCATTCGTGACGCACTCGTGTCTTTCCGGGAAAGGGGCGAGTGGTGACGAATGTTGCCTGAGCAGAAGCGATAGAAACATGGATAAAAAGTACTAGAATCTGTACCTTACTGAGCAAGTGTAATCCCAAATACAACATTCGTTACATGAATACAGTTGACGATACGCATTAGGCTAAGCATTCTCAGAGACCATATACCAGTATACGGTCTCTGGCATTCTCTTATTTTCTGTTTGTGGCATGTGGTACAGTACAACCAGAAAGTATTGAGAATTTAAAGATTGTAAATTCTCTCATTTCCTGTCTGTGGTAAGAGCTATATATGAAGCTAAACATTAAAAACATTTGGACAGACACTACTCACTTTTTACACAGTGGAAGGTGAACGCTACGTAGTCTTCACCATCAGTATGTTGAACAAAACCACCAGGTGAAGACAGCTGACATCTTGTAGAGGCCGTGCAGATGTCCACAAAGTCCAGGTAGTAGTGATCTCTCAGTTGGTTCTTCATGGCAGGAAGGCAGTACTCAGTCACGGTATCATTCTCACGCTGTTGACAACAACGTCTGATTTCGTCTACTCCCTTCCCTCTTAAACTAATTCCAGTTATTTCCCTGTGACATGTGACGTCAGAGGACACCCCGAGTGTAAACATGGTGGGGAGAAGCATCTCTGTGGCGGCACACGGGGGTCGACCATCAACGGGAAGTTGTAACAGGCAGTCTTGTGTCTCAGGCCACAGACAACTGTACATGGAACTGAAAATACAAAACCGACTGACGCTGATGACGTTGGCACATCCAAATCTCATCAACTAACTATATCAGCAGATATGACGCCTATACGTTCCTCAGACGACAAGGTTTACATTACATATTCTTTACTTTACTTACATACAGGTGTTCATGCCAGTTAATAAGAGCGAAAATCTCCTACTTTTTATGAGATTGTGGACTTTATCGTATGAAATACACAATGTCATTACTAAGAAAGTGTAATCTCTTTCTAAAATGGCATTGTGTATTTCATAGCTTTCGGCCGTGGGAGCCGTGCCAATTAACACTTATCAGAGGGGTACACAAAGTCCGCAGTCTAGACTACCAGTTGTCCGACTTCCACTTTATGGAAGCCGCGGTGGCTGAGCGGTCTAGGCGTCTGACTTTGTGTGCTGGCGATTAGGTGCCTGACTCTGAGGGTGTGGGTTCGAATCCGGATGGGACTCATCCCAAAAAAGTGCCTGAATCTGTACTTTACTAAGAAAGTGTAATCCCAAATATAACATATGTTAGACTTTTTCGTAGACAATAAAATTTCGTACCATGCACTGTATCATAATTCATTTATAGAAATTGTAGTAATACGATATTGTTGACTGTAGCATTAATTCATTTACTTGTTTTGAGTACATTGTCGATTTGAACTAAGAAATCACGCCAAATAGCTATACTCCATGGATTGGCGCTTTGTTTATTTATTTATTTTTTTAGTTTTTTTTATTTTATTCAGTTTTTGTTTTGCAGTTATATATTTTACTCGCATTACCTCTTAGCAGATTAACATCAAAGCATAACGGGAAAATATGGCGAGATAAATCTAATTTAATACATAACTTTGTCAGGATAGATAACATCTAACCATGGTTTATTAACAAAACGTGTCTATGTATCCCTACTAACGTATCAGTCCTATACATTACACATATAAACCCTGTAGGAAGTGGCCTAAACATCAGAAGATCGTTTAACCGGTTTTAAAAAGGTTCCACTAGAAGGTACCACTAAACATACATGAGCTCCGGATATGTGAGAAGTGTATGGCTTTGAAAATTAATCTCTTATGCGTCTGGACCCGTGAAGATCCGGGTTAGAATTGATCTTCAGCAACCCATGCTTGTACGAACGGGATCGGGTGGTCAGGCTCGCTGACTTGGTTGACTCATGTCATCGTATCTCAGTTGCGCAGATCTATGCTCATGCTGTTGATCACTGGATTGTCTGGTCCAGACTTGATTATTTACAGACCGCCGCCATATAGCTTGAATATTGCTGAGTGCGGTGTAAAACTAAACTCGCTCACTTACTCTTATTCGTCTGCAGGTTGATGGAATGATATCTGTACAGGACAGAAGGTGTAATCCGCAAACTATGTTATTCACGAGATATTGCTCAACCCTGACAAAAATCACTGTTGATCCCATAAACTCGAACCGGGCAAGGCTATATAGATTTCAGTCGGTTTGCTTGTCGTGTGTTATCCATACCTAGTAAAGATCTGTCCTAGATACCAGCAACAACATGACTGATTTGCCATATCATGGTAAGTTATAAAGGTATGTAATGAACAACATGTCAATCAATTTAATCAAAGGTTAGTTCAACTAAATATCGCCTTAACATGACCGTGAAAGTAACAGTATAAGCAACGCTCGTACCGTTATTTTGACATATGAATCCACACTAAAAGGACGCTACGATTCTTCCATAAACCTGATCACAATATACCTTGAAGTAAAATCCATGGCAGCAGAAAAAGGGATCCTGGTCGCTTTGTCCGCATCCTGGGGTTGTTAGGTCTAGAGACACTCGTCGAGATGTTCACTCTCAGGAACTATAGGATGGTAAAAACATCAACATGTTCATACAGTTCATAATCATACAGTTCCCTTATACAAACATAATATAGAGTCTTTTTGGGGGGTCAGAATTACGACAGTCTTGTAATAGCAGTTGGGATACTGTTTGATATCGGGATTTCGTCACAAGCTGTTTTAAGACACGTACGTTTTGGATTAGACATTCACGGCAAATGAAATCTGTTCATTTTGCGGAACAGGTGGATGTCTGAAAGAGGCGTTCAAAGCAACACTCGTGGATTGTAGCAGTGGTAACTGTTCTTCCACTGGCGCATATCCAGATGGAATTTCACCCCTTCATTGCCTCAAACATGCTTCATGCATTTTCTGGTCTTTTGAAAGATGTTCCTCCATAATGACATCCTTGGTATCCCAGAACTCGGAGGTCATAACCTTCCCAGCTGATGGGACAGTATTTGTCTTCCTTGTTGGAGGGAAATGTTTTCACTGTTTTGATTGTCCATTGGACAGTAAGGTTCTCGATGTACTATCTCCAAGGGAATGCCTTCTGAACAGGGTATTTGACGATAAGTCATTCGTAGGTCGATCATCATCAGATCGTGGACAGTTCCTTACAGTGTCACATGAATAATTCCCAAGTGTTGTTTTCCTATATTCATGGATGGCCTTGATGTACAGTCTTTCTGTGCAAGCATTTGATCACAGGTTTGTTCAATGTCCTTAGGTCACCCTGCTTATTTTACAATTTGCTCGACAGACTCAAGCAGTTTGTAGACATGCCATTACATCATTTAATGGGTGAGTGAGTGAGTTGGGTTTTACGTCGCTTTTTTCCAGCAATATCACGGCGGGGGACACCAGGAATGGGCTTCACACATTGTACCCATATGGGCAATCGAACCCGGGATACCCCCACCGCCCCTCACATCATTTAATGTCAACAATTCAGAATTACAGTACGCAAAATGACGTTTTGGCATAAGAAGCAAATGTCCTAATGTCACAACGTATCCTACCTCCGACTGGACATCCTGATCATTCAACTACATCCAACTCCACAGTGAATAGCTGACATACATCAAAACCAAGCAAGGACCGTCATTACTTCCTGCTTAAGGGCTTATATGCGCAGCCGCAGTGTTACATCTGTTATCTCATCTTTAACTGTGTCATGTTTGATAACAGTCAACGAATGTTTCATACACCAGTCAGATTTGTGGCCCTTAACGATAACAAAATAGTAAAAAATATTATTAACTGCAAAATAATTGTATTTTAGAGACACTAATATCAATGCTTTAAAAATATACTATCATGTTCGGTCTTCTCCTTTCAACAGGGGAGGCGGGGTAGCCTTGTGGGTAAAGTGTTCTCTCGTCACACCGACGCGCTGAGCGTGTGCTCCGCAACTGGTGAAAACTTCACAAACACAAGGAAAGGCGAGTCAAGTTTTCACCAAGAAACACAAGTGAACATTTGGTATAGCTAAAAATAGACATCTGTATTATTATTTTCAGTATTAATTATTATGACTACCATAAAACGTTCTTGAAGCTTTGCTACGACCTTGAATGTTGTAGTTTAGTTTTACGCCGCTTTCAGCAATATTCAGCAATATCTTTGCGGGGGACATCGGGCGGTTTCATTTCTCCTTTCTATTTGTAGCTCAGGTGAATAAATTGGTATAAACAGTTACACACTTGTCTACTTGACCGTCAGTGAACGATATCAGATAGACCTGAAGCTTGAATTACACACATAAACACTACCCCTGATTTATTATCATATGTCCTGTTTTATTTATCCATCATACAGACACCAAGGTATGAAAAGAAACATTGATGGGAATTATTACCAAATCGGAAATCGAGCTGACGAAAGATAAAGGATTGTGAAGTAAATCTGACCAATCATTGCCATAACTATAAGAGTAATGCCGACTTTGCTTCTAACTACTTCCGGTGCCGGAGGTCATGACACCAGTCACGTGGTCTGAACAGGTCCGGTAGGGGGTCGACGTGAGGCTTCGGATCCGAGGTTATCAAGCGCTGATCAGGAAGTTCCTGAGAGATCGGGTGAAAGTCGAGCAGAAAATAGCAGCAAGGTTGCTTATCCCCTGCTGTGAATGTCATCAGCATGTTGGTTTTATTGGTCTGTCGTGCTGGTAATGTGGTTGTCACTTGTATCGATCGTATCGATCTTATCGATCTGAGACCTGCCTATTGATGGTGTCTCTTTGTGATGTAACGCCTTCGTTCCTCCTCGAGTGGAGCGGTGGGGGTAGCCTTATGGTTAAAGCGTCCGCTCGTCACACTGAACACTCGGGTTCGATTCCCCACATGGGTACAATGTGTGAACAGGCCTACCAAAGAAAACTTTCCCACTGTGCAGAAAAACGCAGAAAAGCCCACATTAATCCTGGAAATAGCAACATAAACATAATACCTCGCTACTGAAACAGTAAACACGGCAACTTTAAATCGTTAAAACTGGATAAAAAACCCGAAGATTTTGCGCATGCGCACATGGAGGAGGAAGCCTCCACCGCATGTTGACATTTTCCAGCTTGGACAAAAGTTACATTCCCTTTTTAAAGTATTTCTGTTGTGTTATTTGGCATTTATCATCATCATACTTGTGTGCACACTTGTTTAGTTTACTTGCCATTCGTATGAAATGATTGACAGCAATTATTTCGACATATTCAATACTTTTTTCTGCGCGAAGCGATTCACGGTTGTTCGGAAATTTTAAAGAAGCTCGGATCGTAACGCATGCGCAGTAGAGGTCAAAGTTCGGTGATGTACAAATGTTGCAGTTTCATAGTCTTTCGTTGCCGTTTTTACTGTTTCAGTAGCGAGGTATCATGTTTATGTTGCTATTTCCACGATTAATGCGTTTCTGCGTTCTTCTGCACAGTGGGAAAGTTTTCTTTGGTAGGTCTGGTGAAGCCCATTTCTGGTTGCCCCCGCCGTGATATTGCAAGGATATTGCTAAAAGCGGCGTTAGACCATACTAATTCACTCAATCACTCACTCACAACAACACAGGGCGTAGTGGCGTACACAGAATATTACTGAAAGACCACACTCACTTACGCCTCCTCGACTGGTGAGTATAAGTCAAAGAATAACCTGTGAACTACTTGTTACACTGTTAGTGTATACGAATTATCTATATCCCGTGTGATTATAGAACAATATTAAATATATATAAATATAAACGGTAACGAAGAGAACCGGGGCATTTGTAAAGGTGAAAATGTGTTGTTTTTTTCTCATAGAGTGAGTCAGAGAGTTGGTTTTACTCCGTTTTTAGGAACATTCAGGCGGTATCACCAGCAAGGGGTTTCACACATTGTACCCATTTGGGGAATAAACCCCGGGGCTTTGGTGTGACGTGCTAACGCTTTAACCTTCAGACTTTAGAATTGGTCTTCACCAACCCATACTTGTCGTAAGAGGCTCGCTGACTTGGTTGTCACACGTCGTCGTATCTCTATTGCGTACATGGATGCTCATGATGTTGATCACTGGATTGTCTAGTCCAGACTCGATTATTTACAGCTGGAAAACTGCTGAACGAGGCAACAACAATTTACTCGTGTTCATGCATATTTGAAGGCATTCAGTTCGACGTTACCTTAGTGAGTGAGTGGGTTGGGTTGGGTTTTACGCCGCTTTTAGCAATATTCCAGCAATATCACGGCAGGGGACACCAGAAAAGGGGTTTATACATTGTGCCCATGTGGGGAATCGAACCCCAGTGTTCAGTGTGACGAGCGGACGCTTTAACCACTAGTCTATCCCACGGCCTCGACGTTAACTTAGGGCATAGAGGAATTGACTAAAGCAGTCAAAACAATGAAAAATAACAAAAGTCCTGGCATTGATGGATTTTCTATTGAATTCTTTAGATTCTTCTGGACTGATCTAAAATTCTGGATTTACAGATGTGTAAAAGAAACTTTTGAAAGGGAACATTAACCATAACATGTAACAGAGGGGTTGTAACTTGTATACCCAAATCAAATAAAGATAAAGTTTACTTGAAGAATCGGAGACCTATTACTCTACTCAACTGCCTTTATAAAATTATGAGCATTTCTGGTAGACTGAAAAAAAACACTGGACTTCCTCATACACGGTAATCAAACAGGCTTTAATCCCGAAAGAAATATAAGCGAAAATACAAGGCAATTATATGATGTTCTTTTTGAAGCGAAATTATATAACAAACCTGGTCTATTGCTCTAAATCGATTTTGAAAAAGCCTTCGCTACGGTATCCAAGAGCTTTGTCATACAGGTATTGAATAAATTTGGCTTTGGACCCAAGATGATAACATGGGTGAAAATACTCACTCAAAACTCCACCTCTTGTGTAATACAAAATGGGCATCTTTCTTCTGTTATGAAAATGAAAGGGGCTGTCGACAAGGAGATTCTCTCTCGCCTTAATTGTTTCTTTTTGTGGCAGAAATATTAAGTAATATGATTCGTCAATGGTATAGAAAATAAACTAGGTCAGTATGCAGACGACACCCAACTTTTTTTAGATGGAAGTGAAAATAGCTTAAGGGCCGCTATTAATACTCTTAATGCCTTTCATATAATCTCAGGTCTCAAAATGACCATTGATAAGACCAAGGCTTTGTGGATTGGTGCAATGACAGATAGTAATGTTAGACTTTGTACAGATATTAGACTAGATTGGCATGTAGGTGACTTTGAAGTGTTAGGAATAAAACTAAACGCTCATTTAGTAAACCTTTGGGTTATCAACACAAGGAAAAGACTGGAAAATATTAACAGAATTCTTGCCACATGGCGAAAAAGATTAACTCTTATTGGTAAAATTACTGTCATTAAAACACTTGCTTTATCTACTTTAGTACATATTTCTATTGCCCTCTCGCATCCTCCCAAATCGTTTATAGATGATCTGAATAAGATATTTTTCAATTTCATTTGGGATGGCAAGAAGGATAAAATCAAGAGAGAAAACTTAGTGAGGAAACATGAGCAGGGAGGACTTAGAATGACCGATATAAAAAACTATATCAATGCTTTAAAGCTTTCACATTTGAATAAATATGTCAAGAAAAACACTTACATAGGCCTAAGCGGCATACCTACCAAAAACATTTTTTACATTGGGTGCAAACTTTGCTGAACACATTCAAATAAAAAAACCTTTCTGGAAAGATGTATCTGGTCAGAATATTATAGAATACATAAAACAAATTTTGATATGGAGGACATTCTTTGTGAACCATTATGGCTTAACCACCTATTTTATGACTCTAATCTCTGCATCGATAGCTGGTTCAGGAAAGGTTTGCACTCAATCCATGATATTTGTAATGATAATGGTTTCATGAATTTTATGGAATTAAAAATGCCTTTGAACACGATTGAACAATTCTTGAATACAGCAGAATGATTTTAAACATACCAAAGGCATGGAGAGACATCATCAAACAAATGAGTAAAAAACAGAAAATCTTGCTATTAACGCACAGCTTTCTAGCTTACTTGTAGATATAAAAGGTTCGAGATTTTACTACAACAAGTTGATTGCTACACAAAAAACTTTGCCAGTATGTCTAAAATGGCAGAGTATATTATCTTCTGATATTGACTGGAAAATGGCTTTTACAAACTTTAGAAAATGTACAAAAGACACAAAGCTTGTGGATTTTCAGTATAGATTTATTCATAGAATTATCTATACAAACAAACTGTTTCGAATGACGCTTGTGGATAATAAGACTTGTAGTTTCTGTAAAACAGAAGATGAAGACATTTTTCATGTATATGTTGACTATCACTGTGTCAATAACCTCTGGAAAAAGCTTGAAACAATATTGAACCAGTATGTACCCAAAGGCATTTCATTGACTAAGCAAACCATATTATTTGGACTTCCAAGCACACACACTCTCATGAATCATATTATTCTCGTTATAAAAAAATTCATTCATATTCAAAGCATTAAACAAGATAGAATTACTTTTGAAAAACTTTTGAAAATTATTAAAGACATTTTCAACATTGAGAAATATACTACCAAGAAATCCCAGACTTTATACTATAAATATACTATACATATATGTGTGTGTATATATACTA